GGAGGAAACAAAGACTTTGATGGACTTTTTAGCTGAGATCAAAGCCCGGATATGCTGAGATAAATGCTGGATATGAAGAGAGGATGCATGAGACGAAATAAACTTCGACCAAGAAGAGGTGCGAGAACAACTGCAACAGGTGAAAGTGGAGCTTACAGAAGAAACTGGAGGCATAAAAGACGATGTGGAAATAAAAGAAGTGGCATCTGAAGAATCAAAGGATGAAGAAATGAAGGAAGTAGCTAGTGAACTGTCTGAGAAAGATCCAGAAATGAAGGATGAAATATTTAATGGGATTAAAGAAAAAGAACGAAAACATGAAGAAATAAAAGACAGGAAAGAATCAAGATTCTCAAGTGCCTGAAGTAGAAGTGGAAGAAAGTGAAAATGTGACTGTCAAGTTCGTCGAAACTGACAGTGAAATTACGAAGTCGCAGTTAGCAAGTATTGAGCCATCTGAAAGTTCATGTGATGCGGAGATGGGAGAAGCTGATGTCCACCTTAAGCAGTGTTCTCTAGTATTACAGGAAAATTCACCCACCTCACACACTGGGTGTGTGCCTCATACTGCAAGTTTTGCAGACAAGGACTTAATTCTAAACCAGGATGCTTATGATTGTAAAGGATCGGATTCTATTCGCGACCCTGGTGCAAACATCGGAACTGACTTTGAGGAAATAGAGGTAAATAAGCATGCAGCATCTGCTAAAAATATCGAGGTGAACTGTACGCATTCTGTAAATAAACTACAGAGTGATGAACGAATTGTTTTAGATCTTCCTGTGGATGGAAAGTCTGAAAGAATTGGATCTCCAGACAGTGCTATGCAAAGCAGGAATACATCTGAGAACTGCAGTGGAAAAGTATTTGACCCGGTTATAACTTAACAGAATGAGATTGAAATTCATTCTGAACTTTAATTTGTATAATTTAAAATTGTGATGTATAATTTGTGTATATAACTTGTACATAGTGTAAATTACTTGTTTAGTTATGTTATTTGTTTACTTTATTATGCTTTGTTTGTATCAAATTTGGCTTCTGATTAAAGATTGTACTGCCCGGGACGTGCAGTCCTTGGGAAGAAGCAGTTACGAAGGGAGCAGCCGCGGTAAGATAGCTTCTCCACAAACCACGTTTAGGGTTGCCAGAAAATGGATAGGGAAGCCTTCATTTGGCGAGAAATCGCCCATTTGGTGACTAAATTGGCGATATGCCATGGACAGAAGGACAGCCTTCTAGAATGAATTCTTACTGGTTTGGCCCATAATGTTCTCGAACAAAAGACAAAAGCTATATAAACCCTGCTGGTATGCGGAGAGCGAGTTAGTCTGTGCGGAGTCCATCGAGTTGATAGTCAGCCAGTGAGTGTCAAGTGCACCGAAAGAATCTCTTCGTGTATTGTCGAGAGAGTGTGTTGAGCTCCGGGAATGACCGAGCAGAGTTGGGAGCTGTACTCTGGTGCTTTGCAGTGAAGCTGTCTTCACCGTTATAGTCTGATAACCTGAAGACTGTTTCGCTGATCGTTTCAGCGTGTTTATCATAGTTCGATGACCGTAAACGTAATTTTGAAGCTGTCCTGAATAATATTGGCCAAAAAAGTGTGTTTCGATATTTCATCAAATGCTGTCGTTGTTATTCACTCCAAATCTGCACGAACCCGTACCGTACGTATGTGAAGAGAAAAACATAACAATATATTGAACCCAAAAAGATCTCATTGTCTAGCAAACTAGTTTCTCTTTTCTTCATTGAAGAAATTCCTTCTGCAGTAAACCTTTCATTTCAGAAAGAACAAACATCACATTCTTGCATTCTCGGCTCCTGCTAATTCTTCAGATTGTAGCTTTTTTGTGGCTATATATGGTGTAGAAAGAGTTTCCAATTTTGAAAGATCATTCTACAGTCTTTCTGTTAGTGAAACATTAATATATATATATATATATAAGACGTAGATAATCCTAATGTTTATAATATATATATATATATATATAAGATGTAGATAATCCTAATGTTTCACTTATATATATAAACTTGTATATCATCAAAATATGTACTTCCCCATCACATTGCTTGATCAATAATTTCTCCTTATCCTGATCGCTTCCTAAGAATGGCATCAATTTTGGGAGTTCTTGCTGCTATTACTGCTTACCTAAATTTACCAATGAGATTTATAACTAAATAAATCAGTTTAATGAATAATGACAAATATCACATCCATCCTGCTCCCTTATATTTATTTATTAATATGTCAAAACAGAAGTCCATAAATAAAAATAATAACTCGGTTTGACATTAATTTTTTTTTCAATTCATTTTAATTTCACTTCAAATTCACACTGTCCAACAAACACTGCAGTCAGAGTCGACATGTTTTTAGAGACTCCAGCTCCAACTCCTTTTACCAAAAAATCTGCCTAACTCTGATTCCGACTCCACAGCCCTGTTTGTAAGGTGGGGGAAAAAAAAAAAAAGTTCGAGGGAAAAACAAGATATTTATTATGGTTCATGACAATATCCGAGTTAAATCTGGCTTTAGTGAAGCAGACAAAAAGAAACACAATCTAGCTAAAAGTAATACAAAACTGTAATCAAGGTAACAATAGGTAATAAGAGCTCAAGTAAATATATTCTATGATCCATAATGTCATTGACAGTATGCCACAATCTGAACCATTGTGTGACACATCACAGTCTGCAACAATCTGGTAATCTGCATCGACTAACAAAACAAATTTGCATGAGAGAAACTTTGGTGTAGCACCAGGTGTCTGGGTCTAAGACCATATCCCTAATCAATAAACTGAATTTACAGTTCATTTATAATGCAGCCACGTCGTTGACTGCAACTCAGGTTCATGGAGGAACCAATTATTACAAAATCTGCTTGGATTCCTCCCATGAGCTAAGAAAACATGTGCATGGCAGAGTGTTGACTGCCACATGATATTACGGGCGATGGCATTAAATATGCGTAAAATTTTCAGTGCCATAGTTAACTCATTGACAGGAAAATTGAAACGGAATCTAGGAATCTATTCCCGAGATATCTCGAGTGTAGTCGTTAAGTGGTTAATATTGCCCACCGCCTATAACAGCTAGTGCTTGCCATGGAGGGATTATTAACTTTACATTTGCTGTTTCTTCTTTCTCCACAGGTTTGCTTTTGGGGAAGAATCTGACAAACACTAAACTTGTCTTAGTAATATTGGCACTTTATTTCTGTTTAACTCCATTTTTGTAAATTGGTAACACCAATTTATTGACATTATTTAATGTCATTTTACAGCAAATATAGTAAGATGCACCTTTTACAGTATTATCTTCTTTCAACCAATCCTCTAATTCCAGATTTTCTAACTATTCATATCTAAAATTTTGAGTATATCACCATTCGTCTTTTTCTGTGGGGAATGCAAGTTTCAGACATTGTGGTTATGGTTAGTTAGTCGCAATCCTATTTTAAAATGTTCTACAAAATGAAAAATAAAGTACTATTTCACTAACATAAAATAGAAATAGTCCATACAACCTAAAAGTATAGTATTATTGTATGTAGCACATGCATAAATGTAAAATCACACTAAATAATACAATTCCATGAAAGTCGGAGTCCACCTGCCCGGTAGGCATAACATATAACATGTTAGTAACACGGATGACAATTCTAAATTCTTTTACATTTGTAGTATTTTGTACAAACACTTGAAATATTATAAATCATGATGAGTATCATTGGAATTAATTACAAAAATCGTCATTAAATTTAGTAGTTTTTAAAAAATTTAAATAATTTTTTATTGATTAAAAATTATCAAAATAACCCAGGTAGTGAGGTATTTTAGTGGGAAAAAAACCTAACAGATTTACATTAAAAGATTCTATTTTTCCTTTCCTTAAAGTTTCAACTTTATAAGGCTCTGGCTTTAGCCAGTTTTATTTTATGAAGTTTTCAGCAAACAGTCTTGGGGGAAAAAAAAAAAAAAAAAAAAAAAAACCCGAATTACAACTCCATACAATACTTTTGTAGGATTCAGTATTATCTGAAATAATGAATAATATTGCAAATGAATCCTTGCAGAAATCTATTTTCAGTAAATAGCTTTCAAATGCTAATCAACAAGAGCAAAGGACAATAAAGAATAAGCATTAAGTAAAATAAACAAGCATTAAAAGCTGACTAAATCTCACTGCACAAAATATAACACAGCTTATGATAGTGCAGAATACTTCAATAAAGAGAATTGTACTGAATCTAGCAAAATGTGACCAAAATAATTAGGTGCATTGTATTTGGCAAACTAATGATTTTTACTGCTAAAACTTTTCTATAATCTAAGGCAGAATTCTGCTTAATTTTACATTTCAAACTGATTTTTAGCATTTATTATAATAATGTTTAAGATTTAATTTTGACAACTTACAAAACTAAAACAAAATAATACAGTTATTTTCAGCAATCTGAATGCATTATAACATCACAAGTTGAAACTCTGATTTTGCTGACACATATAAAATCAATACTTCTGTACCTCATTTCTTATACTGAAAAAATTAAACCAGCTCAGACGAAATTATTTTGTATTCTGATATTCAATTATCATGTTTATATGAAGTAAATAGCAACAAAAAAACATGTAAAATGTTTAATATTAAATTCTGACTCTCAAAAACTTAATAAATTTTATTTACAATATATACAGAAAAGAAAGCATACACAAAAAGAAAGCCTTCATGTTCTAACATAAGAAATAATATTTCTTTGATCCATTATCAAAATTATAACACTCATAAATTTAATAATTTTCAAAAAGACAAACACTTACGGAAAACTCTAATAACAACAATAATAAAAACAATCACTTACAACATTTAAAATTGTGTATGATTATTTTTTTGCTTAAAATGTAAAACAGCAATGAAAGCAGTAAATTAAAAAAAAATGGTTCATATAATTTCAACAACAATAAATTAATTTTAATTTACAGCATTTAATTAAGGCATTAAATTTTATGCACTTGTTTTATTTAGATAAAATAAATATAGAGCTAAATATTTTATTGAATCATTCGGAGTCAATATTTAGTATAAAATAAAATGATGCTACATGATTTTTGTCTTCTGTGGAGTCCATGTTTGCTTATGGTCATACAGAGGTTTTAAAGTGTATTAGTTCTTTTGTATTATACTACAATATTCGGATATTCTGATATAAAGTTTTAGATAAAATCAATAAACATACAACATACACTAATGTTTAGAAGGGGATTTAACAAAAGCAATAACAAATTTTAATCTATTTTCAGTGAGAAAATAAATCTTAGCAATAAAAATTAAAAAGAATTGACTTAATCAGAATTCACTCTCACTGAGTGAAATCAAAATCATATTAGTAAACTTTGGAAAGGTAATTCAAATGCAATAGTGAAAAATAAAATCTTATTTCTAAATGAAATGACACACTAAAAACTTGCTGACTTAAATAAATTAAAAAAGAAAATAATTATCTATCTTTCTCACCTGATCTTTGCAAAAGCTTGGTGGTGCCGTTGGTTTCATACAGCAGATATATCTTATGAAATGATAAAATGATACCAGTTAGCAAAATTTCAGTACCATTTTTTATGTCTATTATTCCACCAATGGTGCTCAAAACATATACTTGTAATGATGAAGTATGAAACAATTAAATAATTTCTTTATTTTATATCAATTTGTAACACGTCATTTCATATAGGAATAAATAAGATTTTGTTTCAGTTCAGTACTTTGAATGACCCTATATTAACAAGATATTATAATTAAAATCGGCACAACACTAAGCTATTATCTTGAGAAATTGTTTTTTCTGATGATGTAATATATCCTTCTTCGTCATAAGTAATAGATGATGTTGAAACTGGCTTTACCTCCCTTTCAGCATTTTGGTTATCCAACTTAGATTTCTTTTCCAGAAGTGTAAGAGTCCATTTTAGATCGTCTTCCCAAAGTTCCTTCTCAGATGGATTCAAATGAATGGCTTTTGAGAAACTTATTTTTGCCTAAAACAAAATTAAATTAATGGTAAAAAGCACAACAATACAAAATGATTTTCTTCATACATACATTTTTCTTAGCACTACCGACAGGTGATTTTATACTGATGACTGTATACTTAATTATTTAATGCAAAGGATTTCCAGCAATTTGTTACATTTAGTTTCTCTTAAGACAATGGGTGAATCCAAGATTTTGGTTGGGGGGGGGAGCTGAAGTCATAGAAATTACCTATCATTGTGATGTTTCCAAATTTTAGTGGAGTAAACAAAGATGCTTGTTTAATGTATTATCATAAATTCATACATTAAATGCTAATGAAAACTCAGACAAATTCAGTGACATTTTAAAGACCTGATAATGAAGATACAGATATAGAAAACAGCATCAAATTTTGTATATTAGTAAATGTTATAACAAAATACATTGATATTAAATATTAAATTGAAGAATTTAAGAAAATGACAGTATATTATGATATAATATTCATATGATCATTCTTTTAGCCTAAATTATTGAGTGCTTCATTAATATTTATGTCTACAATATTATAATATATACTCATAAGTGCCAGAGAAATAAATGTATTTTCGCCTGTTATATTCTTCAAATAAGTCTTCAATCTTTTTAAGGTAGTGCAGCTCTCCTCTGGAGCTGCTGTTGCCACTAGTATTACTACAGCTATTCTAAAAAGCTCATATATGCTGGGAAACATCTCTTTTTCACATCTGTTTAACATTTTGATAATCAATAATTCGGTGTCTGGAAATTCACCTACTTGTCTTTCCTACAGTAAATATTCAATGGTGATGAAAGAACCCTTTTCAAGGAGGATATTTTCATAAAATTTGACCTATATATTGAAATTGATGATGTTTCTTAAGCCAGATACCAAACATGGAAAGGAAGATAGAATATATTTACAAACTAAAAAACTTAAAAATTTTTATAATTATAGCATCCAAAAATGAGAAAAAGAAATATGATATCAGTAATATTAATGCTAAACTGATCAACTTGTCATTTCTTTGTCTTCGGAATAATAACTGGTATCTCCTGCCTCAGACACATTGCTCCTTTTTTTTAAAAAAAAGTACCTAAAAATGATCATTTGCATTTTTTCTAATGTTCAAAAATTAATCTCAAAACATCTGGGGAAGTTTTACAATGGAAGTCAAATCCAAATCTTTTTGTAGGAATCTACTTAATAAAATGTTGTAGCTAAATATAAATTCTTTTTCAAAGAGGGAAACCATAAATTTCACAATGCAGATGGAGCTAATTAATCCAGTGACACCAATTGACATATCACAGTCAGTTTAATGACTAATTTCATCCAAACCTTTGCATACAGCATCCAGAAGTTTAATGAAAATCATAATAAAGTCATGCCTCTACATCCATATTGTGGGGCATAATTTCTTTAAATGCATTTTTTTTATTCAAGACAAAATTCATTGATCTTCTCTGATAAAACTTTCTGTTTCTTTGCAGTGTGAAGCAATGACTATGCCTTTTCAATTATCTTCAATTTCTGATGTCTTGGACTTGCAAGAATCTGAGAATGCAAGTTTAAGCAGTATGATACACAATACATTCTCTGCCTTAACATGAAAGCTACCATAACCTTGTTCTCTGATATTTGATGTCCAAAGTATCCAAATTGTCCATGAAATATGTTGTGAAGTTGCAGAAGTAAGAGGACATAAAAAAAATGTTCAAACATTTTCATCTTCTTTTAGTTAAAATACTGAAGATAGAACAATATTTGCTTGATGGTTGTAACATCAGTTGTTTCATCAATCAAGACTGAAAAACATTTCAAATTTTTTTACTTATTCTATAATTTTTGTCTGCGTCAGAGAACCACAGGATGAGTATTTAATTTTCGATAGAAAAACTTGTACGCTGCTGGCAACCGTAAATGCAACACCCTGAAGGAAGCATACAAATAACATAAAATTTACAACATACGTTAGCGGAGGTGAGATATGCAAATGATTAGAATTTCAGTGCAGATGCACATCCTGCATGCCTGTGGTGCCCTTCAATGTGCTATTTAAGGCTTGGAGTTTTCAATGATTTCAAGTTCAGCAATTGTGTTTTTCTTGTGGTTTTTTTTTTCAAAAAACAATCAACTATGCCTCGTAGTAAACAGTGATCATCATTTGATCAAGTATCCGAGTTCGACAGAGGAAGGATAGTGGCCTACCGAGAGTGTGGATTATCTTTCAGGGAAATCGTTAGTCATGTTGGACGAAACCAAACAACTGTAATGCAGATATGTGACCACTGGATGCAGGAGGGTACGACGGACCGACGTGTTCGATCACATCCACCTCAGTGCACCACTTCACGTGATGACAGGCACATTGTGCGCATGGCACTGACGGATCACTCAGTCACATCACAAACCATAGCACAGCGCACTCAGTCTGTAATGTTGGCTTTAGTTTTTCCTTATACAAATTTTGATCGGAGGCCAATCGGCGGTAAGCTTAACGTGGTTGCCGCTGACTGGCCTATGATGTCAAGATCAACAGGCTGGCCGAGTATTATATATATATACACCAGTATCGCCGAATGTGTCTTATTATGAGTTAGTATAATGCTAGTTTTCTTTCAGTCAAATGATTTTAAATGTAAAAGCTACAGTGTTAGCTTATCTTATTTTAATTTACGGAATAAAGCATGAATTTTATTTAGATTAGTCTTAGCTTTATTTAAGGGAAGCAACATATGCTTTGTCTTTATCGCCACTGCCAACAGGGTTATGGGCCCAGCGCCAACAGCTAATCTGTCATCCAGTTCAACTCAGCAATGAAGGAATGTAGGTGAAGAGGGTCATTATCCACGAAAAGGAGCTGACCAGTCTTAGAAGTTTTGTTCAAGTTGTTGCACTCACACTTAGTTGAAGATGTCATTACTAACTGAAGGTTTTGAGCTGTTTAACCATGACATATCGATTGAAAGTCGATATGAAAATGCTGTTACTGGATAGAAACTGTTGGAGCTTCAGAGAGGACAAAGAAAAAGAATTAGATAAAAGTGCAACCAGGCATAAAAAGCAGGAATTCACATTAAGAGAGAATAGAGCCTTCACTACATTATATTATGGAATTAAAACTGAGTTCAGACCGCTGATACAAGAATGCTGAAGTGGTAAAGAAGCATGAGAAGTTCTACAGAAGCAATTCGAACTCAAAACAAGAGCAAGGATAATTCAGTTATTGGATGAATTTTTTAGCCAGTTAGATATACCCCAAATGAAGAAATAGGGTTATTCATTGCAAAGATAAGAATGACTGCAAAGAAGTTGGCTGAAGGTGGACACAACTTGACAGATCTTTTTAAAGGATTTCAGGCAATAAGGAGATTTTTCCCAAGAATACTCCACATTGTACAGTTGAATCTATAAGGTGGAAGGACGAAGTTTTTACGTCTGGGAAAGAATTGCTGAAGAACTGGTTAAGGGAAGAAAGCCGAACTTTATCCAGGTAAATGCCGTTTTAGAAGACAGCAAGGTAAGCGTGTTTAATACTATTAGTTAAAATGCAGGGAAAGACAGAGTTGAAAATAAAACTAAATCTAAGGAAAAAAATGGACAATATGAGAATAGGACCTTGTTTCAGATGTCATAAATTTGGACACTTAATCGCTCAATGTAAAGAAAATGTAAGTAAAAATCAGAAATTTAAAATAGACGATAAAAATGGACAGTTTAAAGATAAAGAATTAACGTTAGTAGAAAATTATATAACGAACTACAGATAAAGGAAAGGTAATGCAGATAAATTTAATTGGGTCCGTACATACAGTGCAGCTACAACTCATTTCTGTAATAACAGAAATTTAATGACAAATTTTTGAAGAAATAAACGATATACGTATGTCTTTAGCTGTAGGAAATTGTGAAAGTAGTAGGAAAGGGTACCATTAAATTTTCAGTAAAAGTAGGCAATCGAATAAATTGGATTGAGTTAGTAATGTGTTATATAATCCAAATCTAAGAAGAAATTTACTATCGAGAGAGCAAGTTTAGAAAAGGCAGGTGCTCATTTTGTGTTTTCAAAAGGCCATTTACGGTCTACATCAAAGTGGCCGTGAATGGTTTTGTGAATTTGAAAGTACTTTAGAAAATCTACATTTTAAGAAAATACAATGGTGTAATTATGTTTATAAGGGTTTAAATGTAATTTTCTTGTTATATATTAATTGTTATATGTAGATGATATTATGATTTTTAGTAAAGATCAATATAATATAGATAAAGTAATTTCACAGCTGAGTAAGTTTTTTGATCTTAAAGTATTAGACAAAACTAAAACGTTACTTGGAATTGAATTCTTAGAGAATGATAATGGGGTTTTTATACATCAGCAAAAATATATCGAAGAAATTTTTGAAAAATTTAAACATTTCCAGATACCAATAACTTCACTTCCCTAAAGGTACTATTCTTACAAAATTAGATTGTCCATCTACAAGTGCAGAAATTGTGGAAATGCTAACATTACCCTTTAGAAATCTGCTGGGATGTTTAGTTTTTGTAGCCAACAGGACAAGGCCTGATATTACATATGCAGTGAATATCTCATCACAATTTCAGAAGAATCCTGGAATTCATTGGGAAGTATTGTTGAAATTGCTTGGTAATCTCAATAGTACTAAATTATATAAGTTAAACTTATTGAAGATTAAACATCTAAATTTATATTGTTATTCAGGTGTTAATTATGCAAGTAATAGGGATGACTGCATGTCCATGGGAGGATTTATATTTAGATGAAGTACCAGTAATCTGGAAAACTGGAAAATTTTTAAACAAAACTGTATAAGTTTATCAACCATAGAAGCGGAGTATATTGCCTTATCGGAGGCAGCGAAGGAATTAATGTGGACGAAAAATGTCTTACAAGATGAAATTTTAAAGTTTAATTTAAGAGAATGTAAACTATTTTGTGATAACAAATCTGCCATTGATTTTTCCAGATCGCTAATAGAA